CTTTAACACCCTCGCACATGAGCCAATATCTATAAATACATACATCCAACACACATCTAAACCTCATTATATTACTCTAAACAACTCCAAGAAAAACTCAAGACTCAACCCTCAACACAAAATTAATCAACCAAAATGGCAACAACATCAACTTCCTTCCTTACTTCTTCTCCAATTCTTCCTTCACTATTCTCACCAAAAACAAAGTCATCGTCAAGAGCTTCAAGAACAAAGACGCTGGCAATGAAAAGAGAAGCACATGATCAAAACTACTATAACGGTCGTCTTGTAGATGAGAACATGATCGTCCTTCGAAAGAGAATTCATGAGATGAAGATGATCGAGAGGAATTACGAGCCTCCAGCTGAATGGACGAATTGGGAGAAGAGTCTTTACGCGAATTATGACTCGAATATTTGTGAAGCAATGGGATTCTTGCAGTCCGAGTTGATGGATATAAGACCAAGTTTGGCTTTAGGCATGGTTGCACTCATTGCATTGAGTGTGCCCACTTCAACTGCTGTGGCTTTGTTTCATTTGGTAGAGTTGGCTAAGGAGGTTTTGGCTGGATTGCATATTTCTTAGAGTCCTCGCTTCCGATCCTTTATATGTACATTGATACTACAAGCGTTAACATAACATTCTCTATTCTTTTCATTCTTTATTTTACCGTATTTGGATGTGTAATAAGGTCCTGGTTTGGGAAATGTTATAAATAGAATGGGAACTTTTATCTTTTATACAAAAGAAAATAATTGTATTTTTTGAGGATCAATTCACAAGTTCCCTTTAACTTCTGGAATAATTTACGCGGAGTACTATCAGTATGTAATACTACTATTTAATATCCTTTCACGCAAAAAAAAAAAAAAAAAAAAAAAAAAAAAAAAAAGAGAGAGAGAGAGAAGGAGAATTTGATAGCAGAGCTGAATAAAAAATTTCGGGACTAATTTAAAGAAAATATTTGATTTAAATTTTGTAAGAAAAGCATAATTGAAAAAGGGTGGTCATATTGGCACTGTGGCACATGAGCTTTGCCCTTTACTTCGGCACGTCCTCTGGCACGATAAATTGATTTAAAGTGTCCTAAGGGCAACTTCAATTATGACAAGACTCCCCCTCCCTCGCCCCTATTTTAAAAAAAAAGCGAGTGAAATTTGATTAATAGAACAAGAGAAAGATTTTATGAGCTTTGCATTCAATATTGCGATCCAATGGTCAATGAAATAAAATGGAGCGAACCATGAGAAATATGGAGTTCAAATTTCAGTGAAACGCAAAAAATAATCGGTGATTTTTTTCTATTTTCGCAAGTCATGAGTAGACAGAGTTACTCTGTACCTGTGCTTGTGTAAGATATCATATACTCAATAAAATTAGCAAAGTATGCGCAAACTGATTTGGATACTAACGTCATACAAAAAACAAAAAAGAAAAAAAGAAAAAAGAAGAAGAAGATGGTTATGACTATCCAACTGAAGATCCTTCTCTCCCTCAGAAGCCGAATCCAAAATTTGTCTCCCTCATGAGAAGAAGAAGAAGAAGATGGTTATGAGCCGAATACGAAATTTCTTGTCTCATGCATGTTGTTGCTACTTTATTTCGTGGTTCTTGATTTCTGGGAAGCCTCTTGAAGATCTTACTCTCTTACTTTCCAAAATTAATGGCCATTTATTACTCTTAATTTAATTGTTGTGTACTATGAATTGAAGTTTTATTTTGTGTCTTATACATCTTACACTAGTTGTATGAGTCTCATTTTTGTGTCACAAATTTGTGGACTCCAATTTTACATTTCTGGGTCCACAAAAATCTAGGCCCACAAAACTGTGAGACAAAAAAGTTGTCTCATACAACTAATATCAGTTGTATGAGACACAAACTAAAATTTTCCGTACTTATGAATAGTAGACCCTACGTGGAATGACGATTGTGACGATGCAAAACATACAAAGAACTGAAATAGGGAAATAATATTTGATGTCCAAGTGGTAGTATATAATGTTACGTCCTCCTCCTCAAAGCCCGAAATATGTTATATAAATATAATGTGTGTGTTTGTGTGTACCAATATAGAGAAAAAAACGCACCAATATAATCTAGTGGGCTCGTGGCTGCTGGCACTTAATTTCACGCGGCTATTCGTCTTCATGCCTTATTGCTTAAGACTTTTAAGTTTTAACACCCTCGCATGAGCAAATATCCATAAATACATAGATTCAAGATACATCTAACCCTCAATATTACTCCAAACAACTCGACAATTCAAGACTCATTAATCCTCAACTCAAAATCAACCAAAATGGCAACAACATCAACTTCCTTCCTACTTACTTCTTTTCCAATTCTTCCTTCACCAAAAAGAAGGCCACCAAGAGCTTCAAGAACTACAACGATCCTTGCAATGAAAACAGAAGCATGATCAGAACTACTATAACGGTCGTCTTGTAGATGAAAACATGATAGTCCTTCGAAAGAGAATTCATGAGATGAAGATGATCGAGATGAATTACGAGCCTCCACCTGGATGGACGGATTGGGAGAAGAGTCTTTCGCGAATTATCACTCGAATATTTGTGAAGCAATGGGATTCTTGCAGTCCGAGTTGATACTAGACCAAGCTTGGCATTGGGCATGGTTGTACTCATTGCATCGAGTGTGCCCACTTCAACTGCTGTGGTTTTGTTTCATTTGGTAGAGTTGGCTAAGGAGGTTTTGGCTGGATTACATATTTGATATTTCTTAGAGTCCTCACTTCTATTTTCGTCATGGTATCTCTTTTTAATTTGGCTTTCCAATTAGAAGATTGTAGTTCTATTCTTTTCATTCTTTATTCAATACTGTATATATTTGGATGTGTAAGCTCTGCCTGGTTTTGGCAATGGTTCTCTGTTATATATAGAACTTTTTTCTTTTTTCAAAGATGCAGATTGCATTTTTTTTTTTTTGGAGGATTAGTAATTATTTACCTTGCAAATAGTGGATAGGTCTTTCATAAATATTGGTATTAGGATAAGAGAAAATACTCATTTATATCAAATGCGTAACTTGTTTTACACATGAAGTTTATCATTCAACTACGACACTTAATATATATTTTATTTTAATTTTATCATTTGTTATAGTAATAAGTTACCATAATTTGATGCCATTGAGATTTCTTTTTACTAGTACTATCCGAAACTATCCGTACAAGAGTAATTTCTCCATTTAATTTATGTGGCAATATTTTCTTTTGAGGTTGTTTCAAAAAGTATAACAGCTTTTTAAATTTAAAAATAATTAAACTCAAACTATTCATTTATTGTTAATGAGAAACTATTATATCCACATAATCATTTATGAATTTTTTAGATCATAAATTTTTTTAAATTCATCTCTTTCTTAAATTCTAGGCCGGTTTAAATTAATTACATAAAGTGGAACAAAGGGAATAGTTAGCTAATTTGTTTGTGTTGAAAAATTAATTCAAAGTTGTAGAAAGAAACATAAATTATTTAAGATTTGATAGTTTATTTAATTCATGTCTAAATGGGATTTGTAGTCATAATTAAATAGGAATGGTTGTTTCTAATTAAAAAAGGTAGCATACTATATAAATAAAGGTATTGCTAGCTTATTTTATATGTGTAGAGATTTGTAAAGAATTTAAATAAAATATTTTCTTCAAACTTGGTATTAGGGCCTCTTCAATCTTGGGAGAGAATGAAGTAGTTTCAGCTGCCGGCCGACAGCACTAGTCAATATATGCCGCATGTCTGGCCATTGAGTATGTTGGTAAACGTCAGGCCAATGATATATGCATGGAAACAATAATGCTGAGAAGGATTGAGCAAAAAGATTGCAAACTTAAAAGGTGCAAGCAAATACAGGATAAGAAGAGGAGGCTCTTCTTTAAATATTAGAGAAGCGGTCAAGAGAAAAAAAAAAAAAGAGTTGGTGACAAGGACATCATCAATTGAGTGTTGGTGACAAAGTGCATCAATTGAAGTTAAAGATATGTGCTTCAGCAAAATTGTGTGTTGGTGATAAAGTACATCAAAGAGAGTTGAAGACAAGTGCTTCAATAAAATTAGTTATTGGTAACAAAGTGCATCTACAGGAGTTGAAGACGGGCGCTTCAATAAAATTAGTTGTTGGTGACAAAGTACATCAATAGGAGTTGAAGACAGTGCTTCAACAAAAATTGATTGTTGATGACAAAGTGCATCAACAGAAGTTAGAGATAAGTGCTTCAACAAAATCAAGTGTTGACGACAAAGTGCTTCAACAGGAGTGTGAAACAGGTGCTTCAATAAAATTAGGTGTTAGTGACAAAGTGAATCAGCGAGGCTTGGAGACATGTGCTTTAACAAAAGTGGAAGTTGAGGAGAAGTGCTCCAACACAATAACACACCGAACAAATCAGACGTATAACTTTGAATTACGGAAGAATATTGAAAAACTAATTTAAAATTATAGTAGAAAACCTAAATTATTTAGGATTTGATATTTGATAGTTAATTTAATTCATATCTAAATAGGATGTGTAGTCATAATTATATAGGAATGGGTTTTCTTGTTTCTAATTAAAATAAATGTCAGACTATTATAAATAGAGGTATTGCTAGCTTATTTTATGTGTGTAGAGGTTTGTGAAGAACGATGGAGATTCGTAGAACTTTATTGGCAAACAGAGAAGAAACTACCAAAAATAAAATGTTATCATAATTTATCTGACTGTAAAACTTCATTGGCAAACACAGGAGACTACAAAAATAAAATGTTATCTTCCTTGCTTCTTCGTTTGCTAACAGGTTCGCCGCCCTATTTTGCTCCTTAAAGCTATGTTTTGATTAACTGATAATATGTTATATTTACATTAAATTTGATGTATTTTACCCTCACTTTAATGTATTTTTTTAAGTGCTTGAAGATTGAAATATGATAAATTGAATTTAATGGTTGAAGGTTGTATGTGTGAAGCCAAGAGTCGAAAATGGAGATGATTTGAGTGAGAATGAAGTTATAAGGGCAAATTCTGAAGAAATGAAAGGGAAATTGTAAGTGAGACAGTGAAGTAACTGCCCATAGCACATAAAAAATAGGATATATAGTGTCTCAGGCAGTGAAGTAACTGCCCATAACACATAAAAAAATAGGATATATAGTGTTTCAGGCAGTGAAATAATTTCCCAAAGCACAGAAAAATTTGGAATTTCGTCCAAGTATTGTACGAAGCATAGCTATAGCACCAGCACAAAATTTTATGTGTTTTATTTTGAGGAGCAACTTAGTCATTTGAATTAGGGACGTTATATAAATTCTTCTAACCCTCATTTCTGCCGCACACTTGACCTAAGAAGGCAAGAAACACTATTGTTGAAGCTAATCTGATCCGGGAAGATCCTCAAGTCCATTCCACAAGGCGAATCGAAGAGTTTTTCTTTATTTTTCTATCTTTATTTCTATGGATATTGGTTTGACAATGGTTTATGTATTTTTAAGTAGTTTTATGAGTAGTTAAACCCTTCATATAGGGTTGTGATGGAACCTTTTGTAGAATAAATTCTTGTTACATTTTATACAATTGAGCCCTTTGATTTCTCTACTTGTTCAACTATGTGCTTATTTCAGTTGATTGAATGACCATCGATTGACTGTACCTATTGTATTGCTTGAAAATAAGTACATATTTAGGTAATTGTTGAAAAATATCACTCTTATTGTATGTGAGAAATCAATATGGCGGGTTTAAAGGTGGGTTTAGGAATAACGAAACGTTGACGTGGTTATAGTGAACGGTAAGATAGTGTCAGCTAGCATAGTTCAAAAAAATATGT